GTCATCGGCCTGTTGCACTCGGGCGAACCAGCGTCCCCGTCCTTATACAATAGGGCGACTACAGCTACTTGCAATTCGTCCGGCTCGGCTTTCTCATCCCGGCACCGCAAGTAGAGACACAAAAAAGCTTACACGGCCTGTGAACCGTACAATAAATACTTATAGAATTCTGGAGGCGCGTCGCCAATACCCGCGGCTTCCCCCATGGGCACAGTTTTGAAAGCAGCCGTTAATTCGCAACTTGAGCATGCGGCAACATTCACGGGAAGGCCCCCCCACGTGGATCTGTTCATCGACCACGAGATCTGGAAAACCAACTGCCCCCTGCACTTTTCCAATATAGCCGGCCAGACGTCTGATCTACGATCGTTAACGACTAGATGTCCACACCCATTCCAGATTCGCACCAGCTTCTTCGCTTTGCCATTCCTTAGCCCGCGCACCGCGTTCCACGATGCACCTGCCATCTGGTCGCCCAACCATTTGTTCTTGTCTCCCCGGATACTCGCTTGGATACGGACACCCAGTGCTCGTTCGGGATGTTACCCGCGGACACGCTCGCCAAGTATGCCTAAGTGGCCAATGAGATTCAAGGTCTGCGCGCCGACTTCCGAATGCGCGCGAGGACTTTCGACGCCATGTGCATCGCCTCGCCCGCCATGGAAGCGCGCCCGCCGAGCATCGCAACCACCCCGCCGGCCGCCCAAACAGCTTCAAAATGGCGCGGGCAGAACTGCCCGTGAATCGCGGTGTCCGCCAAGTGCTCCTTCACATCCAGTTGCTGCTTGGCCTTTTGCTCGCCCTGCGCATCTAGGTCGAGCCCCGAATATATTTTCACGGGGAAACGTCTGCTTGCCAGCGGCACGCTGCGGCCCGAACGCACGTCCGAGATACTTTCCAGAAACGGCCCATCAACAAAGCAGCGGTCAATTTGCTCGACACCCCACTCCTCCTCGGCAACGGCAACATGTTTTAGCGATCGCGCGCTGTAGCCTCCGACGAGGTTGCTAGCCTCACACGGAAAGACCGCAACGGTAATCTCAATGCCAAATGCCCGGCAAGATTCCAGCTGCGTCTCTGCGTTAACACGATCGTGACGCCTCGGCCAAGAGCCGCGGTGGAAATGCACCCCCGGAATGTCCTCGTCGCCCGGTTCCTGTTGATACAGCCGGGCGTGGAAATCTCCAATCGCCATCTTTGCGATCATGGGCCCCAGGACTCGGCCATGCCGCAATAAGATCGTCGAGCGATTTTTGCCGCGCTTCGCGCTCGAATTCCGCGCGCGGCGCATAACGCTACAAAAGATCGAACCCCACCAAAAACATTGTTTTCAGACATGCCAGACTATCTGGAATCAGCCTCAAACAGACGACAGCTTCAACCACCCACGGGGCAACCAAAAGTCCAACTGCAGAGCAATGGCGTTCTCGGCTGTGCCAGCTGGAACAACCAGAAAAAAATCAACGAAGCGCATCGACTCCGTAATGCGACTCTCTTGCGCGCAAAGAATGGCTACTGAGCGCTTTTTTCATGTGGAATTACAGCTCTGGTAGTTTCGCCACGTCGTTGCCCAAGCCTCGCACGTTCCAAGTTGCCAGCGTTGACCCACTCAGCAGGTAACACATCTTGTTGTAGCATCCCCGTTGTTGCATGCCAGAGCCTTGCTTCCAACGGTTGTCGGAAACACGTCTTGCATCAGATGGTAAAGATGACGAGGGCGATGCAGACACAATATTAGAATAGGTGGTTGAAGATAGATTCGGATTTGTATGCGCCAAATGCCATTGGGTGGTTTCGTAAAGTCTTCTGGATGACCATCCACATCAAAATCAACACGCTGAGGACTTGATCGACGAGCGCCGCCACCAGTGGCAGAAACACCCCTTCCATGTAAAACGGCCCCTCTTCCACTCCACGTTGCGGCAGTTGTGCTGGCACTCGCCGCGCGCAGGTTGATCTAAGAAGTTGCATGGGGATGTGTGCAGTAGAGCCAAATGCGGGCACCAGAAAGATGGACATGCTATCCAAATCGGTCAACCGATACTTCATACAAGCAGTATTGCCGACTGCGGGCGAATCGTCTTGGCGGTGAGCTCGCACACCTCCTGTGGCCACACAAGGGGAGCCCTTGTGCCATTCGTCCCCTTCATGCCGGCTGGCGCATGGGCCAACAGGTTGTTGCACGTGTCCCCCAGCTCTTTGGCGGCAGCGTGGTTGCGCAACCCCGTCCACGTAGCCCACTCCCCCTGCCACTCGTGGACAACGCCGTCTGACGACACGTGGGCTGTCAGAACATGTGATCCGCCTACCGTCACGACGTACGGGGCCTCCCCCGTGATGGAGATGGCGCGGGGGTCATTCCACTCCGCTTTCGGGAAAAGCTTGAGTCCGACGCAATAGTTCTTGGTAGCGCGATCAGCTGGGAGTCGATCTTGGCTGGCCCAAACACGTTTCTGCCCACTGTGAAGGCCCGCGCGTCGGAGTAGCTCAATACCAAGATCCCGCTCAGCCAGAGATACGAACTACGAGAAGATGACCCCCTTGAAATACCCCTTGCTGTAGATCTTCATTGGCGAGCGCCCAAAGACTGCAGCTTGTCCTTGGTCTAAATGATTGCGTCCTCTTAGGTGGTTAGCCCGTCCAGGCTCCCCATGATCGCTGGTGAAGCCCGCTTTTCCTTGCACAACCCCGCTGGAGCCGTTGAGGTAGGTTGGAAAGGAGCCTCCTGCAAATATGTTTGAATACATTCGCGGATCCTCCTCTCAAAACCGTCGTCATCCATGTCTGGGAGTTTCTGCAAGTCCTCGTATATCGATTCGAGCTGTTCAACCCTCACGTCGGTCACGGTGATGCGCTTCTCCATGGGACTCGAGGCGCCTGAACTGCGCGGTGTTCAGGTACGCGTTGTTGGTGTCCATCCTGGCCTACTCTGTCGGCAGCTTCGACACGGCCGACGTGACCAGCGCGGGCTGCTGTTGAAGGAGTGTCGCCATGGCTGCCATCGTCACCGGCTCCTGCGCGGAGATGTGCTCTTCCTCCTCGTCCTCGTCCCCGTCCTCGTCCATGCAGTCGTAGGCCGCCTGGTTCCTCTTTTTCGACTCCCTAGCCAAACACTGGAGAGTGAGGTCCTTGCCGCGTGAAGGCGAACTTCATCTTCTCGCATAGGCTCTTCGTGAGCACGTCGCGGACACGAGTACCTGCAAGGCGAGTGCGCCTAGGTCCTGGAGGTGGGGAATGGACGTCGCTCATCGTTTTCGAAAGCTCGTCCTCGAGATTCAAAGGAACACGTGTGCCGTCGGCGCTGGAGGACGCCATCAGAGCTACAGAGTGAGCGATAGGTTCCTGGACATCGGTCTCGAAGCCCAACAGCACCAAAAAAACGTGCGTTTGAGCCCCACGCTCGAGCCTCACGGCTTGACCCACACTCCTGAGCCCCACACGCTTGAGCCCCACGGAGAAAGGGCAGAGGAGGAGCGAAAAGGCGAGGAGCAGCAGCAAGAGCAGGACGAGGAGCTCGGGCGGGGGCGTCGCTACTCTAGATCCCGGGAGCAGATGCCAATGGACGACGGGCTGCCACCCCCAGAAGTGGGCGGCTGGCTGGGCCAGTCCTCAAGCCTGCGCTGGTGCGTGGGCCACTTCAGCAGTCAGAGGCTCGAAGTCCTTGCTGGCTCTTGGAGGTTTTCGGGCCTCGAGGTGCTGTTGTCCAGCGGCCATGACTGCTCTTGGGCTGCGCCTCGGCGAGAGCACTCGGGGGGGCCCGAACGGCAGCCGGAGGCCCGAGTTACGACCGGAAGGCCGGACCGCCCTCCTGGCTGGAAGCCCAGGGGCGTCTGCCCAGACATCCTCCGACTCAGCAAACGCCGAGGCGATCGGTCGCGTCCTCGGTTGAAGACCCCTGCGGGCTCGCAAAAAGGGCCGAGAGGTCGTCGGACCCAGACCGAACGCGCAAAAGTCACGAAGGGTTTGGTTTGGAGAAGTTTCGGCCTCAGGGGGTCCTCACTGGGCCCCAGGACCATCAAAAACAACCCGGGATGAAAAACTGGTCCCAAGGAGTGAATGGGTCGAGACCTCTAGGGGTCCACGTTGCGCAAAAGTCACGACGTCGGGAGACTGGAGCAACCGCTGGGCGGCCAGGAGGGCTCAGCAAGTGCAACCGCGTGTGAGCCGAGGATGTCCGCAGCCGATTGAAGACCAGCGGTGGCTTTCGATATCCTGGCATCGGTCTCTCCGCAGGGACGTAGGTGATTGCAGACCAGCGCCCCTCAGAATTCCGGATCGGGCTGGGGCCGGGGAAGATCTTGGATCGGAGCGGCCGGATCCACATCCTGGGCCTTGGTGATGCCGTCCGGGTGAGGACCAGATGAGACAACGGCGGCTCTCAGCTGTGGCGACGAGAAATCTACAGGAGGAGGGCCGCTGGTGCCCCGACTTGTCCTCCTCCGGGACGTGGCCAGCTGCTTTGGCTTTCGGGTCATGATTCGGGTCTCCCACGACCGCTCGGGAGGATCCGGGCACCCTCGGGACGCTCTCGGCGAGGCGCAGCCGCCAGAACGCATCCCGAGGGGGGAAACCTCCAGGAACCTCTGGGGACACAGAATTCCTCTCCGACGTCGCGATTGTCTTCGCAACGGGACCCTCGGAGTTCTAGACCTCCCGAAGATCCTGATTCGTTGTTTGACGGTCGCAGCGCCCAGCGAAGGCCTCCGGAGGCCGAAAATTGCTCAAAGCCTCCCGTCATGATTTTTCTCAAGGGCGCTTAGGTTCGCGCTTCGCGCTGCGCGAAGCGCGAAGTGCGAATAAATTCGCGCTCTCGAGACACCCTATCCCCATGGGGGATAGAAGAGGAAGAAGAGGAAGATGGGGAACGAGTAGGAAGGGACCAGACCGCGAACCGCTAACAACTTCGCGACTCCGCGGGCGCGCGTACTCCTTCGCAACGAGGGGAGATGGGAGGAATGGAGGGAGCGAGGGAGCCGACGAGAGCCCCGCTGTGCCCAGGCCTTGCTGAAATCCCACTCGTCGAACTCCTTCGGCAGGCAGCATACGCCGCAGTCGGCGAAGCTGTGCCGCACCACGCCGTGCTCGCGTTGCGCCCGCGGCCCGGTGCCTCTGGCCGAGCGGGGCGGGGTCCGAGAGGGGGAGGGAAGCGCTGGCTCACGGAAGTCGGGTGTTCGATTGCAGGGGGCACTAGAAACGTGGGAGGAAGAAACGCGCACCGCTCGTGCACATATTTGGGGCTCGCGGTTGCAGTTTAGGGGCCATTCAGCGCCCCTGCAGGGCCGTTCTCCTGCAGCCCTCGAGTCCCACACGTGTACTGCTCCCCTTGGCCACGCGCACAAGGCGACCGGGGGAAGGGGAAGGCTTCTCAGAAGCGGGCCGCTTCTTAGAAGGCGCCGGCCCTACATCTATAGACCAAGACACGCGCCTTACAAGCAGTGGTGCTTCTAAGAAGGCTCCCCCCCTCACCCTACCCCCCTTCTGTATTGGCCCAGGGACACACAAGAAATACATACAAATCTCAGGATCCCCCGTATTTTCTATATTTTCTAGAGTTCGTCTTCCCCCCCACTTCCCATGTTCCCCCATGTTCTCCTGGGAATCGACGAATACTCGTGTCTGTGTGCTTTTCGTCCATCCTGACTCTGCGCGTGGCCGATCCCCGCTGCCGCTCTCCCGAGGGAGGGAGGGCGCGGACCCCCCTCCGAGAGGGAGCCGGGGAGGGAGGGAGCGAGGGCCCCCGAGAGCTCTCCGACCTGGGCTCTTCTCTCCTCGGCCGCGGCCGCTGTTGCAGGAGGGCGGGGGGACGGCGGGGGGAGGGAGGGGAGGGGACAGAGAGGGGAGGGAGGGAGAGGGGGGCAAGGCAAGCTAGGTGCGCTCGCGTCATATTTGACGTCCTACCCATCCCTCCCATCCATTGCCATGGCGTAGATCCCCTCTCTTTTCGCAGTCGGATGTCGTAGCAGGGCACAGCATTACATGGCATAGCACGGTGTTGAAGACCAACGCGTAGCATGACATAGCATGGCGTGGCGACGCCCCAAAGTGCGGGGGGGGGCCAAAAATCAATGAATCGACACAGAATGTGGAATCATTTCTTATGGTTTTTGTCGGGGGGGATTTCGATATTTTCGGGCTTATCTGAAGGAAACCGTGCCGTGGCATGGCACTGGAAATAATGACGCCAGCGCTGCAGCGGGAGCACGATTCGGAACGAGCGGAAGCGCGGAAACGAGTCCAGCGCTGCAGCGGGAGCACGATTCGGAACGAGCGGAAGCGCGGAAATGAGGCCAGCGTTGCAGCGGGATTCGGAACGAGCGGAAGCGCGTAAATGAGGCCAGCGCTGCAGCGGGAGCAACCTTTTGAAAAGGAACAAAAGGGAGCATGTTCACGGGAATCTGGTGTAAAAAAACAGTACGCGGAGGGGGGCCAGATATCTTGCAGATGTCATCAGGGGAGAGGAGACTAGTATTCATATTGTGTAATTGTAGAAAGGGATGGGGGGAGGGGGGGGGAGGGAGGGGGAGAGGGAGGAAGGGGAGAAGGGAGGGGGGGAGGGAGCGAGGGGAGGGAGGTGGGGCAGCGAGAGGGAGGGAGGGAGAGATGGGGAAAGAGAGCGAGGGGAGGGGAGTGCAGGAGTAGTCGGATCAATGTGCGTCGGATCGAATCGAAATGTGCGTCGGATCTTGCTGCAACGGCACAAAGTCGAAATCAAACTGGATAGGCCGCGCTCAAATGCACCTCAGCGCGAGCACAAACATCAGACTGCATCGGACCGCCGGACCGCCGAGAGATCAGACTCGAATCGGGCCCGCTCGGCCAAAATCGATATCGGACCGGATCGACTGGATCCAAATGGGCCATGCCCAGGCCTTAGTGACGACGTCCGAAGGAGGACCAAATGAGACAACTACGGGTCTCCCACCCAGCCCGAATGCAATAAAAATCTATCTCTGGACCCCTCCTGGGGTCCATCCTGACCCGTTTTGCGAGGCGGAATCAGCCGTGGCGACGAGAAGCCTCCAGGAGGCCCAAAGAGGACGAAACGTGACGTGGCTGGCTGGTTCAATGTTCAGGTCATAACTCGGGTCGCTGGCGGCCGTTTGGAACGATCGGGGCACCCCCGAGAAGCTCTCGGAGAGGCGCAGCTGCCGGAACGGAACCTCTGTGAGCCTCCAGGAAAACCTCTGGGAACCTCCAGGGACTCAGAACTGCGAGGTCGTGATTTTTGCAAACCATTTTGAAGAGACGGCGCCCCGCGTCCCTCCTCCTGCTCCTCCTCCTCCTCCTCCTCCTCCTCCTCCTCCTTCTCCTCCGCCTCCTCCTCCGTCTCCTCCTCCTCCTCCTCCTCCTCCTCCTCCTCCTCCCTCCTCCTCCTCCTCCTCCTCCTACGCCCTCCTACGCCCTCCTACGCCCTCCTACGCCCTCCTACGCCCTCCTCCTCCTGCTCCCTCACTCCCTCCCTCCCATCCTTGCCTCTGCCCTCCGCATGCCTCTGTTTCGGCACACCCCTAGCGCGTTTCGCGGCCCCATAGGGAGCTCCACTGAAGGCAATGGCCACCGCACCCTTTACGGCTGACCTCTCACACGCTTCGTGGCCCCAATAGGTGGATCCACCGAAGGCCCCAGTAACGGTGTTCGCATGCGTTCCCCGTACCCATTTCGGCACACACCCCTCGCACGCTTCGTGGCCCCATAAGGAGCTCCACCGAAGGACCCAATGGCAGTTCTCGCATGCGCCCCCCGCACCCATTTCGGCACACACCCCTCACACGATTCGTGGCCCAATAGGGAGCTCCACCGAAGGCCCCAGTGGCAGTTCTCGCATGCATCACCCGCACCCATGTCGGCACACCCCTTACACGCTTCGTGTACCCATAGGGAGGGAGCGCTACTGAAGGTCCCAGGGGAAGCTCTCGCACGCAACTCCGCGCCCATTTCGGCACACCCATAGGGAGCTCCACAACCGAAGGCCCCAAAGGAGGTGTTCGCATACGCCCCCCCCCCAAAAAAACATTCCGGCACACTCCCCTCACACAGTTCATGGCCCCATAGGGAGCTCCACCGAAGGCCCAACTGGCGGTGTTCGCATGCGCCCACCACGCACAGATCGGCACACCCATCACAAATGTCGTGGCCCATGGCGAGCTCCACCGAAGTCCCCAGTGACGGTGTTTGCGCGTGTCCCCCCTACCCATTTCGGCACACCCCTCATACGCTTCGTGGCCCCATATATAGGGAGTTCCACCGAAGATGATGCTCACTACTGCGTCACTCACAACTGCATATGGTTGGGTCCTTAGCCAGGCTAATTTTCGCAAGAAAACGCCCCGTAATCTAGACCCCTTCCTCGGGACCGGATTTTCATCTGGAGTCGTTGTTCGACGGTCCCGGGGCCCAGCGAGGGCCTCTGGAGGCTGAAGAAATCATCAAAGCCTCCCGTCGTGCTTCCTTCGCATCAAGGGGAGGGGGAGAGGGAGGGAGGTAGGAAGGGGGGAAGGGGCGAAGGGATGGGCCCCCTCCAAGGCAGACCCCTCGAGGAGGTTCGGCAAGCCCCGCGCGCCAATGGACACGCTGAAGGTCAGGCAGCGTCGCGCCAGGGCGCCCTCGGACGCCTCGCACTTGAGCTGGACGTAGCCCCTCCCCTTGGCCTTCGCCGAGGGGGGTGGGGGCGCCAGATCCTCCACCTCCACCTCCACGTCCTCCTCCTCCTCCTCCTCCTCCTCCTGCTGCTGCTGCTCCTCCGCCTCCTCCTCGCCTCTGCCTGCTTCTCATCATCAGGAGGAACATCCTGCTCCTCCTCCTCCTCCTCCTCCTCCTCCTGCTCCCGTTCCCTCCGCACCACCATCAACAACACCACAAAGACCATTCAACAATACCACCACCAACAACATCACCACCATCATCATCATCATCATCATCATCAGCAGCATCAGCATCATCATCATCATCATCATCATCATCATCATCATCACCACCCATCATCATCATCATCACCACCACCACCACCACCACCACCACCATCATCATCATCATCATCATCATCATCATCATCTTTATCATCAGCATCATCACCATCACCCTCATCATCATCAGCAGCAACATCAGCAGCAGCAGTATCGGCATCAGCATCAGCATCAGCATCGTCATCATCACCATCACCACCGACATCATCATCATCATCATCATCATCATCATCATCATCATCAGCATCATCGTCGTCATCATCATCATCACCACCATCACCAGCATCAGCAGCATCAGCATCATCAGCAGCGGCATCATGATCAGCATCATCATTATCAGCAGCAGCAGTAACATCGTCGTCGTCGCCGTCGCCGACGTTCGTCGTCACCATCCGCATCATCATCATCATCATCATCAGCATCATCATCATCATCATCATCATCATCAGTAGCAGTAGCATCATCAGCAGCAGCATTATCATCAGCATCATCAGCATCAGCATGATAATGATTATCAGCAGCATCAGCATCAGCATGATCATCATCATCATCAGCAGCATCATCATCATCAGCATCATCATCATCATCATCAGCATCATCATCATCATCATCATCATCATCATCATACTCATCATCAATATCATCAGCAGCAGCAGCCGCGTCATCATCATCATCAGCAGCATCAGCATCAGCAGCATCTGCATCAGCAGCATCATCATCATCAGCATCGCCACCATCATCAATCAGCATCATCATCATCAACAGCATCGTATTATTATCAGCAGCATCGCGAGCATCATCCTCAGCAACATTACCAGCAACGACAGCATCGTCATTAACATAATCATCCGAGTCATAAATGGCATCATCGTCGTCGGCATCATCATCATCATCATCATCATCATCATCATCATCATCATCATCATCAGCATCAGCATCAGCATCATCATCATCGCAGCAGCAGCGATGATCATCATAATCATCATCAGCAGCAGCAGCATCATCAGCAGCCGCACCATTGACATCATCCCCTTCCTCGTCGTCGACGACGGCATTATCATCACCAGCATCATCATCCTAATCCGAAGCATCGTCATCATCGTCATCATCATCAGCAGCATCATCAGCATTGTCATCGTCGCCGTCGCCGTTGTCGTGATCAGCAGCAGCGGCATCATCATCATCATCATCATCATCATCATCATCATCAGCATCATCGTCAATACCATAGTCAGCGTCGTTATCATCGTCAGCATCAGCATCAGCATCAGCATCATCATCATCATCATCATCATCATCATCATCATCATCCGTATCGTCGTCATCGTGATCAGCATCATCATGATCATCATCGTCGCCGTTGTCATCATCGTCATCATCAGCATCATCATTATCATCGACATCATCAACAGCAGCATCATCAGAATTATCATCATCAGCATCATCGCTATCAGCATGATCACCATCGACATCAGTATCAACATCATCATCATCGTCATCATCAGCATCATCATCATCTTCAGTAGCATCGTCCTCGTGATCGTCATCATCAGCATCACCACCATCATCACAACAACCATCATAATCATCAGCAGCAGCAGCAGCATCATGACTACCATCGTCATCACCATCATTATCACTATCATCCTCACCATCATCCCGCCCCCTCCCGAGTCGTCATCATAACCCTTATCCTCACCATCATCACGATGAATATCATTCTCATCATCACCATCACCTGACCTTCCATATCGGATCGATTTATGACAGCCCCGCCGCCTAAAAGTCCCACGCCCCCCCCGAGGCCGCAAACGACGGTTAGCTCAGGCACGACTACTTGTTGGATTACGTTCCCCCTCGCCCTCCTCCTCCTCCTCCTCCTCCTTCGCCCTGGCCTTCTTGAAGGAGGCGCCGCCTTTGCGGTCGGACACGACCTTGGGGATGATCATCAGCTTGAAGGGCCCGACCTCGTCGGCGACCTCGAACGAGGGGGACACGGCGACCTCGCGGGGATCTCCCATCAAACAAGGACACCCTGACCTCCTCGAACGATGCCAATTATGCACGCTGTTACTTCGCGGCCGGCCCGTCCAACTCAGCGAGAGCGAATAGCGGGACGCGCTAAGGTGTGACTCCCACCGAACATGTGTCGATGGGGGGCCAGAACAGGTCTTGACGCATGCACAAGAAAGAGGCCAAGGCCATGCACGCGAAAGAACATGCACGAGGACACCATGCCCATGCAAGGCATCAGATGCCAGCAGGACCCGCCAGGAGACAGTGCGGCGGAAGGACGGCCCGACGGTGCGGGCAGGACGGCCCGAGGCGGTGCAAGACAGAGGCGACAGGAGAGCGCGACGGTGTTGCCGGCCACGGCGAGGAGAGGAAGGCTGGCAGAGACAATAGGCGTCAGCTGGCGGCACCTGTCCAGGGACCCCCACACAAGCGTGGTGCAGGGCGGCGAGCTGCAGGTGGGTGCAGCGCTGGTCGGCGAGGGCAGGGCGCCGAGGCCCCCCAAGGCAAGGCGCCAGCGCCGAGGCCCAGAAGCGGCAGAAGCGGCAGGAGGCACGGGGAGGGAAGGCGCTCCGGGAACGCGGCGAACCCGAGACCGGGAGAGAGAGGAGAAAGGAGAGACAGCAACGACACGACGACCGCGGGAGGAGGACGAAGCCCAGGGCGACAGCCGAGGGACGAGCTGTGGGCGAGGGACATCTCCTTATACACGGCTCCGCGGCCTGGACTCCCCGGCAGCGACCCCACGGACACGCAGCGGCTCTGCGTGGGAATGACACGTGCAGAGCGTATCGAAAAAGGGTCTCGTATCCATAGGATCGCGTTTCCATGGGATCGCGCCTCGGTGTCCAGACCGCGAGGGCGTGGATCAGAAGAAGAAGACGGAGACAATGAAAAATAAGAATAATGAAAAGAAGAAGAATAGTAGGAAGAAGGAACGCCATAAACAAAACTTTCGGAGGTCTGCGCGGACTTCTTGAATGCGCGCGGATCGCGCGAGATCGCACCAGGGGCGGCGCCAGAGGCGCCGCCAGGGGGGTCCAGCGCGGACCTCCGAAAATTTCAGCTTATGCTCGGATCTCGGAGTCAAGACAGCAAGGGCATGCCCACAACTCCAAAGTCGTGATCTGTTTCGCAACGTGGACCCCAAGAGAATATCGGGGACGCGCTGCCCTAGGCGAATGCACACCAAGGTCACTCGGGACTTTGCAGGATCATGCAAGATCCTGCAGAATCTTGCAGGATCCTGCGCGCCAACCCGGAACAGAGCACCTCTGGCTCTACAGGATCCTGCAAAAGGCGGCGCTCTGGCTGGCCCCCTTTTCCATTGACCCCCGTCTTAAGGCTCCCGATTCTGGACCCATCCCCCCGGACCGGCTTTCAATCCCGAGTCGGTTTCTGACGGCCTCAGGGCCCTGCCGGGGCGCCCAGAATCAGAAAAAACTGAAAACCTTCCGCCGCGCGGAAGCGGCCGCAAGAAACCCTCGCAAAGAACCAAACCCTGAACATCCGCGCGCGAGGTGCAACAGGGGGGAAACCTCAGAGCACCATTAACGCCGGCGTCGCAATGCCCAGGAGAGGTCATCGAGCAGCGCGCGAAACGTAGAAGTCCGAGGCACCCCATCCAGTTTCTTGATGCGCGTGGCCACAAATCAGTCGGGTGAACTCACAACTAGAACCCTAGACTGAATCCTTCTGCAGCGTTTCTCGAGCCGGATCGATATGCGAAGGCTCTGCGGCCCGCAACTTGGCAAAAAAACGCTCAGTGCGAAAACAAAAATACGACGCCAGCATCCGAGTGGAGGTCCGGGTGACCATGCATATGTTCGTCGCGCGCCATCCAATAGCCGCGCATCAAAAGTCATTCTGGCGAGGGGTCGAACAGCTTTCGGGTTATCCAGCGGCCACTCGGGACCATCCAGGCAACCCCCGAGAACGCTCTCGGCGAGGCGCGGATGCTGAGAAGCATCCTGAGGCTAGAAAACCTCCAGCGACCGAAGAAAAACCGAAAGCCGCGACCCCGCGCACCCCGCTTTGGAAACTCGAAAAGGATACGGAAAAGCATAGGCACGACGCCCAACAGCGAAGATTGCTTCAAACTCACAACGGCCGCTGTTGGGCAGGCGACTTGATGCCTCAAACGGACTCTCGTCCGCGGTGACACCGGCAGCGACTCCTTCACAGTGGACTGGAACTGCTGTCGGCCTTCGTCCCAATACTTTCCGTACCCATGTCAATTGTGCCGAGCCGCGCACACGCCTTGTCGCTCGTCCTGAGTTTCGCCGCGTCCACGACCCAACTCACGCGCGACACGCCCGTGCCGTCATCCCGGGAGCGCACCTGGCAGAAGGGGGTGGCACTGGTGCCTCGCCAGCTGGCGAGGATCACCGAGACGACCACGACGACGACCACGACGACGACGGTGATGATGATGATGATGATGATGATGATGATGATGATGATGATGAGGATGAGGATGAGGATGAGGATGATGAGGTTGATGAGGATGACGATGACGATGACGATAACGATGACGATGACGATGACGATGATGACGATGCTGATGATGATGATGACGATGACGATGACGATGATGACGATGATGACGATGATGACGATGATGACGATGATGATGACGATGACGATGATGATGAAAATGATGATGTTGATGACGATGATGATGATGATGATGATGATGATGATGATGATGATGATGATGATCGCGATGATGACGATGGTGATGACGCGGATGATGATGAGGATGATTATGATTATGATTATGATGACACTGGTGAAGGTGATGAAGGTAACAACTCATATGGGAAACCAGTCCTGGACCCGAGGCCTTCACCCGAAACCTAGTCTTCGTCTTGGGTCGATTGCTGACGGTCCTGGTGCCCCGGATGAGCCGCGAGAGACGAAACCAGAAAAAAAAGTCCAGGACCAGTTTCCCTCAGGACCCTTTCGTGCTCGCAGAACCCTGGCGTTCCCCTCAGGTCGTGAGGGAGCCCTCACTTCATGAACGCTCGCGTAATGTGCTCGAAAAAAAGAAAACTGCATATACATCATTTGTCACACGCCCGCGCAGATTTACTGGATCTGCGCTGAACCTCCTCTCTGGCCCACAGAGCGCGCCGGGTGCGGCGCCAGAGAGCCGACAGGGGAGCCCAGCGCAGATCCAAGAAACACGGGCCGAGCTCCTCAAACTTGTCGCATCTTTGTGATTAATATCGTTAGCATTCGTATCACTACTAGTCGTAGTAGTAGCAGCAATAATAGCAATAATGATAGTAATACTAGTAGTAGTAGTAGTAGTAGTAGTAGTAGTAGTAGTAGTAGTAGTAGTAGTAGTAGTACTAGTAGTAGTAATAGGAGGAGTAGGAGTAGGAGTAGTAGTGAGTAGTACTAGTAGCAGTCGTAGTAGTCGTAGTAGTAAGTAGTAGTAAATAGTAGTAGTAGTAGTAGTAGTAGTAGTAGTAGTAGTAGTAGTAGTAGTCGTAGTCGTAGTAGTAGTAGCAGTAGCAGTAGCAGTAGCAGTAGCAGTAGTAGTAGTAGTAGTAGCAGCAGTAGTAGTAGTAGTGGTAGTAGTTGTTGTTGTAGTAGTTGTCGCAGTAGTAGTAGCAGTAGTAGTAGTAGTAGTAGTAGTAGTAGCAGTAGTAGTAATAGTAGTAGTAGTCGTCGTCGTAGTAGTAGTAGTACTATGATTAGTACTATTAGTTTAGCAATTGTACTAGTACTGGTGCTAGTACTAGCGTTCGTAACATTATTAGTATACATGGTTGCCGCTCTTCCCATCACTAGTATGACTCGTACTATTGTACTGGTTTTCCGTGATATGATGATTCATGCTTATAACTGTTCGTATGCCTATTCGTATCTCGACACCCTCTGAAACCATCTGCGCGTACGTCGCTGCTTCGTTCCTGGAAGGTTTGGGGACTTCTACATGAATACCGGCGACCGCACTGCCGCCGCATCCAGACGACACCTGGGACATCTAGGTTCGCGCCATCGCGCCTCGCGACGTGCAACACGCGATTCATCTTCGCACCATCGCGCCAGCGCGACTAGCACGAGCGAAACTGCATATGAGCAGAAAGATTCATCCCCCTTTCCTCCAGAAGAGTGGGATGGAGAATCGTTTCATTCTGCTCGTCATCCTCCTGCGCCTCCTGCTTCTCCTCCTCCCTCCCTCCTTCCTCCCTCTGCTCGCCTCCTCTCGAGGAATAAGAATTAAACAAAAACAAAACAAAACTTTGGGAGGTTCGCACGGATTTCTTGGATCGGCGCTGGGCCCCCCTTTGAGCGCCTCCGGCGCCGCCCTCGGCGCGCGCCGCGCGCCAGGGGGTCCAGCGCCGATTCAAGAAATCCGCGCGGAGCTCCGACATGTTCTGGCTATGCCCGTCTATCTTCTTCGAGCGCCACCTCGCCTGGAGAGGGGCATCCACTCTGGCCTCTGGCCCAGACCGCGGCGCCCGAAGCGCGATTATCTTCGCGCCCCCGCGGGGCCCAGGGCACGAGCCTGCATCTAGGGCGTTCCCCTCTTGGGCCCTGGCGCCAGACGCGGTGGGAGGTCTCTCCCGCGCTCAGCATCTGGGGGCCGCCAAATCGGAGCCAGCCGAGCCGCGCGCATGTGCTCTTGAGGCTAGGCTCGACCTCGAAAAGCATTAGTCGAGATCTTCGATTCTGAATCCTCGATTCTTGACCCTGGACCCTGGACCTTGGACCCTCGAACTTCGACCCTCGAGTCTCAAGAATCAAACATGTCTGAAATCGAATTCTACTGGACGGGCTGGGTCGATCCGTGAGGGCCGGCCCAGGAGGCCCGAGTCTGGAGCAAAGAGCGCTCGTGGAGTCCGACCGCGCCTGTGTGCACAGCGGCACCGTGCAGGCGTCGAACCGCATCGGATCGCCAGAGTACCGGAATCGAACCAAACTAAGCCTGCCAGAATCGCCATCGGCCCGGACCGATTGGATCGAAATTGACCCTGTCGTGTGAGGGTCTTCCTCCTCCTGCAAGCCACCACTCTAGCCATCGGGTGGCCACTCGGAACACGACCCCAGGCTCCCAGGAGAGAGCTCTCGATGAGGCGTAGCCTGATGGAAAGCAACCTGGGGCCTGAAAAATCAAAGTGTCCCTCAAAACTCTGAGAACCTTCAAGAACTAACGGGGGGTATGGCGACCCCAATTCCCGACTGTGTGCGGCTTCGACTGGACCAAAAAAACTCGACATGGGTGAGTCTGGATCAACCCCCAGGGATGTCTCCCCGAGCTTATCTCGTTTCTATGCGGCCAGTTTTGGTGGGAATCTCTGGAATTGGCAGCGAGAACTCGTCTGCGAATGTCCACGAGGCGTTGGGCATCCTGGACCTCCAACGTCGTGATTTTTCCAAACGTGGGCCCCCGGAGCTCTCGACCACTTCCTGGAGACCACTCGCTCATCCCAAATCGCTGATTGACTGCCCCAGGGGCCGGAAACAGGCCCTTGGTCCCTGGAGGCCCAAATTCAGCGAAAAAGCACCGAAACCATTGCTGCGTCACGACGAAATGCCCGGCATCGCCTACGATTCATTGGAATCATCCCTCCCTGCGCGCTTTCGGACACCCGGAATGGGTACGGAAAAAAGAACACGATGCCGATCAGCTAACGCTGACAAAAGCCGAGAGCGGTCGCTGTTGGGCAAGCGCCCTTCTGCCACAAATGGACAACGCCCGCGGCACCACCGACAGTGAGTCCGGTTCAAAAAAACACAGAAACTGCCCCGTTCGCCTGGGCCGGTTTTTAATCCTGGATCGTTCGTTGACGGTCCCACGGCCCGGTCAAGGCCCCGGAGGCCGAACACGACAAAAAACCTTCAGTCAGGAGTTTGTCACGACGCGAGCATGTCCTGGTGTCGGCCCTCGCCCCCATTCATTTTGCAGACGTTTGGATCATGCCAGCCCTACCCCCGTGCGAGCTCGCGGACTCCCGGGCGCGCCAGCGTCTGGGCTGGCTTGTCGGAGCCCAGGGCCGCCAGCGCGTCGGCTTCGCCAGGCTCTCTAGCGGGGGGCTCCACGGTAACGGGTTCGCCGAGGGCGCCGGCGGGCGGCCAGTCCTTGGGACGCGGGCCCAGACATGCTCGCTTTTTTGGGAAAAAGCATGACGGAACGTTTTGTTGGCAGTTGTCGGCCTCGGCGGGCCCTCGCCGGGCCTGGGGACGACGATCAAAAAACAACTCGGGATGGAAAACGACCCAAGGGTCGGGACTCACTGTGAACCCGCACTGACAAAAACAAAACGTCGCATGACTGGGGAAGGACATACTAGTATGATGCGCTCTGTTGGAGACGCATGCACGCCCCGAACATGTACTACGAACACGTCGTTGCCCAAGCAGCATGGCCACAAAACGCCCCACCGTTTAATTCGCCGGCCCAACGGGCCAGAGGCGTGCTAAGATCTCCAGTAACTGGTTAACTATATTAAGAATATTTTACTTCGCGCGCGCGGGGCGGCACCCTGGGGGTCCCCGGGCGAAAAATACCCCGGCAGGGTCCCGGCAGACTCGGGTCAGAGATGGTTTTCGGGGCAATTTTTCGACACCCCTCACGAGGATCATGGCCTCCGAGGGGGGAGCCGCAATTGACTACCCCCCCTCCCACCCCAAGAAGCCCCCAAGAGCCCCCCAAGAGGCCCTGGGGGCCCCCAAGACGCCGCCAAGGAGCCCCAAGAGACTCCCAAGAGGTCCCCAAGAGGCCCCCAAGAGGCCCTAAAGAGGGCTCCAGGGCCGGCGGAATGAGCGAAGCGATTAAATAAACAAAGTTTCAGAAGGCGCGTTTCGTCCCTGCGGGGCCGACGCACGCGTGGCACAAGTATGTCTGGAAGATGCCGATTCCTGCGTGGGCAAGATCGGAGCGGTACGGCTGACTATATATTCGGGATCCCTGATGTCCAACAACATGTCTTTCCTAACCCGGCGTTTTTGTTTCCCTTATTTCGGCCTCTGGAGCCGTTGTCGGGCCCCAGAGCCATCGAAAACGGAATCCTAGACGAAAAACTAACCGGGTGAAGGGGTCGGAACCTCCCATCAAAGTAGGCGTGGTCTGAGGATCGCACCGCGTCGTCGCCCTGGATTTCTACGGTTTCACACCCCTGGACTCGATTGTCGCATTTTTCGTGATGGCCACTTGGGTTCCAATATGGGTTCCTATGGGGTCAGGGGCCAGACTTAGCGTTCCGTCCTGGGACACGACAAATTACATACGATCCTGCCCCATCGCTCATTTCCGTATGAACTCATACCATGCCAGCCAAGCATGTATCAACCCAACCCGTCATCACCCGTTTCAAATACACGCCCACAAAAAACGACAAAGTCCACAAGCGCGCAGCGTCGCGCGCGCATGTCCACATGTTTCAGGACACCGCCGGTGCCGGAGTGATTTCAATATCGAAGTTCCCGGAGACATATGAGGAAATCAACGGTGTTATGTCTTCCGAAACAAACAACTCGGCGCGCGTTTTGCGAGTTCGTATGAAAAACTATGCATGTGCCATCGTTTTCGTCACATGATATTTCGCGGCCCTCTCGAGCGCGCATGTCGAAATCATTTGAAAGCCTCTTTGCACGCCCGCCGGGCGAAGCACGATCCGTGACAAACAACGCCACGCGGGTCGCCCGCGCGCGCCGGCCGCGCGCGCACGCCGACCCCCCCCCAGAACCTTCATCACCGACGCGTGGACACCATCATCATCACCGCCGCGACCAGCATCGGCGCCATCACCGGCCCTGCCGTCGCGACCGCCACCACCACCACCCCCACCGCACCTAACATCATCGCGCCTGACATTGCCGACGCCCCCATGGCACCGCGCCCGCCCGAGCCACTGACTTGCACCGAAGCACCCGCGCGTCAACGCGGCCGACGTCCCCAGCGGCCACCGCCACAGCGGTCGCGTCTGCCGCGCCTAACTAGCTGGCCGCTGTGGGCGCAAGCTTGCGCGTGCTAGCGCAGCCGCAGCGATGCGCCAACCATCGCCGAACACCCATCGCAACCGCCGCCACCCCGGTTTTGCAAACCAAGTTGCAGGTGGGTGGAGGGGATGATTGCGCGAACAATAGAATTGACAACTACCCCGAATCTTAACCCGCAGACAACTCGCACAAAGTCACTCCTTGGGGCAAAATCGTGCGTCTTGATTGGGGATGCGCGAGCAACCCGCTTCGCCTGCCGCCAGAGACGGCGGGGGCGCCCGCAGATCGCCGGCCGCGCAAAGGGCCGGGGACGCTGATAGGAGTGAGGGGCCACGCGGGCGCCCGCATGAGTGCCCGCCCGCCGGTCTCCAGGAGGGGGAGGGGGCGACAAGCTGCGGCAGACGACCACGTGTTCACTCTCGAGCACCCCCTGAAGATTGTTGCAGCTAACGGCCGCGCTCTCCAGCGCACACTTCTGAGTTTCTATTTTGCGAAGAGCGCCCCCGAGCGCGGGCGCGCCCTCTGCTGCGCCCCCAACTGTCGCCAAGGCACCGTCTCCAGGAGGGGGCGCGCTGTCGAGCGCCCCTCCAGCCTCCACCGCACTGTTGCCCCAAAGACGCCGATAGGAGTGAAGAGCCGCACGGGCGCCCGCCTGCCGGTCTCCAGGAAGGGGGGGCGGGGGGGGGGGCGACGAGCTGCGGCAGACGACCGCGTCTTCACTCTCGAGCACTCCCCGGAGACTGCCGCAGCTAACGGCAGCGCTTTCCGATGCACACTCACGAGGCTCAACTTTGTGAGGAGCGTCTCCGAGCGCGGGCGCGCCCTCTGCAGCGCCCCCAACTGTCGCCAAGGTGCTGTTTCCAAAATGGGGCGCGCTGGCGAGCGCCTTTCCGGCCACCACCGCACTGCTGCCCCAGGGGCGCTGATAGGAGCGAGGGGCCGAACGGGCGTTCACCCGCCGGCCTCCGGGAGGGGGAGGGGGCGACATGCTGTGGCAGACGACCACGTGCCCACTCCCGAGCTCCCCCTGAAGACCGTTGCAGCTAACGGCCGCACGGCAAACGACCACGCGTGCACTCTCGAATTTTCCCTGAAGGCTGTTGCACTCCTGAGTCTCTATTTGGTGAGGGGCGTCTCCGAGCGCTGGCGCGCCCTCTGCTGCGCCCCCAACTGGCGCCAGGGCACTATCTCCAAGACGGGGCGCGCTGTCGAGCGCCTCTCCGGCCCCCGCCGCACTGCTGCCCCAGGGGCGCCGATAGAAGCGAAGAGCCGCATGAGTGCCCGCCCGCCGGTCTCCAGGAGGGGGAGGGGGCGACAAGCTGCGGCAGACGACCACGTGTTCGCTCTCGAGCACTCCCTGAAGACTGTTGAAGCTGACGGCCGCACTTCCCGATACACACTCCTGAGGCTCAACTTTGCGCGGAAGGCCTCCAAGCGCGGGCGCGGGCTCGCCTTCGCGCCCTCTGCAGCGCCCCCGACTGTTGCCAGGGCACTGTCTCCAAACTGGGGTTCGCTGTCGAGCGCCTTTCCGGCCTCCACCGCACTGCTGCCCCAGGGGCGCCGATAGGAATGAGGAACCGTATGGGTGTCCGCCTGTTCTGTCGCAATGCCAGTTCTGTCCGCTGATAGGAGTGGGGAGCCGGGGCGGCTATCCCAGTTGCCGTCGCTGCAATCCCGTCCGCCACTGCCGCGCGGGGCCGCCGGGCAGTCGGGCGGCTGGACAGCCGCCGGGGCCAGCCTGGGAGGCACATCCATCGCTGGCGGAGCGCGCAATCCTGAATAGGGGGGTGATCGAGCCGGCACGGCTTGAGCAAGAGGCCACGGACCTGGTGGAGACTTTTTAGTCAGCGGCCGCAGGCGAGAGCGCCAGCGGCGAGTCCAGTCAGAGCGGGCCGCGCAAAGACGAATCAACCTAAAGCGGTGGGCCGGAGCCTCACGCAGCACCTCGGCGGGCAGGCCGGCGAGTGGAGGGGGGCTGGCTGCAACTGCCGGGAAGCTGCACTGCCAGGGTGCACGCATGCAACGCGCTGCAGGGATGGGCCGGCGGCCAAGGCGGTCGGCTGCCATGGTCTGCAAGCTGCGAATGAATTGTGCGCAGGGGCGTAGGCACTCGCGGAACTGCGAGAGTACCAGGGTGGCCGGAGCCAAGTGAACCGACTGCCACGAGACGAACTGCGCCCTATGCAGAGGCGCAAGCAACAACGAGCTGCAGAGTACTAGGGTGGCCGAAGCCGAGTAAACCGACAGCTACGAACCGCATTGAATGCGAATGAACTGAGCAGCAGAAGCTGCGGCGCAGCCAGAATGGCGCGCGGGGGCACCACGATGTGGCCAGGGTGGGCAACTCAGAGGGACCCAAGAAGCATGCCGGGTGCAAGAAGCATGCCGGGTGCGAGTGGTGGCGCCGCAAAGTCGCACACCAAGGCCCCGAAAGGGGGAAGCGCGGTCCGCGGTCGGCACACCAGGGACGGCGACGAACGCGAACAGACGGCGCGACGCCTGGCGGGGATACTTTTTTTGTCGCGGCAAGCGGAAGCGCAGGCGGCATCCGAAGAGGTCGGGCGGGCTACGCGCGAGCCCAATTAAACAGCGACAAGCAAGCAAAGGCGCGGTACCGAGCGCGCGATCAGAACCTACCGCCGGGTGGGCAACTGGCTGAAGCTGAGCTGGGGCACCAGGGGCGGGGACTGCAAGCTGCTAGGGCTGCAAGCTGCACACGCGCGAGACCCAGATGGAGCACCAGGGCAAGGTGAACCTGCACGCCAGGAAGCGTCGTGGTCTGGGCTGTAGAATCACAGATCATGCGTCAGACCAGCAAGGCTGCACCGCCTGATGGAAGCCCAGGCCCGCCAAGCCAGCAGACAGGAGAACAGAGCCGGATGGGCGCAAGCACTCTCGGACCCGGCGCGGGTACCATGGGAGCACATCACCAGGTACGCCGAATGACCTTGTCGCCACCGGGCGCCAGGGGTCAGGGCCACAGACGTGGCGAAGTGCGGGGCCACGAATAGCCCAGCGACAGCGGGCCAACGGGCGACGCGCAGTTCCGCACAAGAAGGCCGTACCACTCCTGAGTAAACCGGCGGCCGTAACCCCGAAGGGCCAGCTTCAGACACGGCCAGCCGAGGCAGTGACTGAGG